CCACACCTCCTCTACTGGAAAAGGATCTTTGCTCTTCGAAATGTTCATTTCCACAAACAGACTGAAGAGAAACCTATCTCTATGAACCAAAGACAGCAAAAGGCATCTCACTGACCTTCACTTTGTGTCCACAATTTCTGCGCCCATGCAAATAGTGACAACCTTGGAAGAGGCCCCTCTCTTTCCTGGAGCTTCCTACAACAGCTTTGGCTGTGAAATCGTGCTTGAGCATTGCACGTGGCAGTGAATAAAACAGGGAAAGACTCTTCACCCATCTTTGTCTCTTGGGGCCCAAAATATCACTGACATCAAGAAAAAGAGAACAGTCCGGCCCAGAGAAGGGAGGGCGGTCTCTAAATGGGGCACTCTGAAAAGTCAGTGGAAGGCTCTGCCTCTACCCATGACATCAGCCACTCCTCCAAGACCCTGGTGAGACAGCGGAGCCCTGTGCCACCCTGAGCCCAGCAGGAGCACTGCCCCCTCTGACCCTCGCCACAATCCACAGCACTGAAGCTGGATGCCCTTGGACGCAGCATCCCAGAAGGATTTTAAAGCAATGGAAAAAAAAAAAAAAAAAAAAAAGCTCTGTTTTGACACACAGCACCTTCTGTGTGTCCTAAGTTCACAGGAGCTAAAGCTCAGGAGAGATCTCCAAGATAGGAAGATCCAAGCTGCCCCTGCCCTCAAGGCCGGGAACTTGCTGTGGATCCAGGCCTATGTGGCCGGCTCCTTCTTCCATAAGGATGAGCTCTTTACAAGTCGCTCCTTGGTGAATGGCAAAAGTCCATGTCTGCTGGCTCTGCCTACCAGCTCTGTTTCCAGGGAGAGTCCAGGGGGCCAGGTCTACACAGGGTGACTTCCTACACAAGTCCAGAACAGCTCCATACGGTTTCTGCAGGAAAACAGGAACCTCACCCTGAACTCTGAGAGCCCCTTTTTCTTCTAACTACAGGTCATAAAAAGAAGGYTGGGCCTCTGCTGGTGACATCGGCCACCTATTCATTAATCCCCTATTACGTGCCACSGCTGTCACAGACGTGACCTCATTTGGTCCCTACCAGCCCTGGAGGAACGAAAGGTTCCATTATTCCTGTCTTACCCCTCTCTGCTGTGCCCCATCCTCCTATGGGGGACAAGACTGCAGGCATCCAAAACAGAACATGAAGACTCTTGTGGCCGGTCAACATGAGCTGCTGCACAGACAAGTCCTGGGGCAGGGTGTGTCCGAGGCCAGAGGTTTTCATTCTTTCTCAAAACACAAAGCCCACAAATTAGAGGCCACCCAGTCCTGACCGTGATGTCACCGTCTGCTCCCCCTGGACCATTTTCTTTAAAAACTGAGCTATTTTTCCCGGGGAGAGAACTCTTTGAATCCGACACAAAAGCTGGCTCCAGCACGTTCTATGGGCCCCCCAGTGACTGGGGGGTGGGAAGGAGCCAGGAGGGTGGTTGGTGGGGAGTCCCCCGTGTGGAAGGGTGGCCCGGCTTGGCGCGAGAACTTGGCTGGAACCGCCCTCCACGTGGCCTGGGCGGCTGGTAAGAAGTTCTGGCTCCGATGCAGAAGGTCAGAGGGGACCCGAGTTCCCGTGGCGACAAGGTCAGGTCAGCTACAAGATCGAAGTTCTTCAAGGAACCCCCCAGGGAAGGGACGACTTAACGGAATTTCAGAAAGTGACAGACTTTTCCCAGGGGCAGAGGGACTGCCCGGGGACAGGGCAAGACCAGGCAGCTGTGGCCYGCGAAGTGGGAGGCACCGCCCAGGCGCTGCAGGCCTCCACCAAGGGCAAGGGGAGCATATGCAAAGGGCCTGGAGTCCCCGGTGCAAAAAGGCTTCCCTGGCCCAAGGCAGGGGTCCCCTGACCACAGAGGGGGGACYAGAACCTGGAAAGTCCCTCGGCAGGACTCCAGAGCGCTCAGCAGCAGGCGTCTAAACAACAGGAGAAAGCAGGAGAGTCTCCCACCTGGGGCTCCAGGGCTTTCCCAGAGTGCTGCCGGGCTTTGAGAGACAGGGAGGGCTGGGACCCCAGGAACAGGGAACAGCAGCAGGAGACGGCAGGGACACCCAGAAAAGGGGACAAAAGAAAACAAAAGCCTGACATATGTACACATGCTTTTGACCCAAGCAGAGGCAAYAGCAATGTGCTGAGGGATTGATGGCAGAGTCCATGATAACAAAGCAGGGYGGTGAAGAAGGCTGAATCTCATTATATTGCTATGAAGTTCTTACATTGCGTGTGAGGAAGTACACTATGATTATTTGAAGGCAGACTTCATTGGCGCATTATAATTCTTCATAATAGTGGGATTCAATATGCCCATTCACACCTGCACTTGACATTACTTGATCCATCTCATTCCCCAGGACCTTCCCTATTTTTCCCCACCTCCCTCCCTCTGATCTGCTTTTTCTACTCTACTGATCTCCCCTTCTATTATCATTATTTTAATTAATGTGCTGTATTGTATGTATATATATATATATATATATATATATATATTTATGTACAATGGAATACTACTCAGCCATAAAAAAGAATTACTTTATGACTTTGCCAGAAAATGTCATAAAGTAAAGACTAAAGACCTAGAGACTATCATACTAAGTGAAATAAGCCAATCCCCCAAAAAACCAAGGTCAAGTGTCTTCTCTAATACATGGATGATAACCCACAGCAAGGGGCAGGAGGAGAATAGAAGAAGTTCAGTGGATTAGACAAAGAGGAATGAAGGGAAGGAAAGGAGGATAGGAATAGGAATGCCAGTGAAAAGAATCTGACTTAACTTTCTTATGGACATATGTGAATACACCACAGTGAWTCTCAACATCCTGTACATCCACAAGACTGTGATCTAAATTAGAATAAGATATATTTCATGCTTGTATAAAATATCAATATCCTACACCAAAATAGATGCTACTGTCATGTAACTAAAAAGACCATTTTWAAAAAAAGGCAATAGGATTAGCGATTCATTTCCCTAAAACAAGCTATAGACAAAAAGCCTAATTTAAATCCTGGCTGACAAGTTAATTCTAAAATTTATGTGAAAGATAAAAGTCCCAGATGGCCAAAACAATTGGAGAAGAGAAAAATAAAGCTGGAAGATCTTAATTTCAAGACTCACTAAAAAGCTACAGAAATCAAAACAATGTCATAATGACACGACGACAAGCAAATAAATCAGTGGAACAAAATCAAAAGTTCAGAAATAGACCCACATACATAATATCGGTTGATTGAGCCAGGGTTCCAGATCAATTGAATGAGTAGAGAAAAGTGATTTCAACAAACATTGTTGGAACAACTGCATCTTCAGTTGTTCAGGAAACTGCAGATTCATATTCACTCAGRATAAAAATGAATATATAAAGAACTCTTAAAAACTAACAATGAAAAACAACCTCATTAAGATGCCCAAAAGAACTGAGTATATATTTCACAAAAGTAAATACAAATGGMTACTAAACCCAGAAGCAGCAGCTCAACCTCATTCATCTTCAGAGCCATACCATTTAATAGCAGCATGCCCACCGGGGTTGAACTGGCCTTATGGTGGCCGCTGTGGCTGTTTGTATACCTGTCTGCCTCCCCAGTGAATGGGAGCAGAATTAGTTCTAGTTATCAAGGATTGCATATATGAAAAAAAAAAAAAATCAACCTTCTGTATCACATTAAGAGGAAAAACAAAACAAAAAGATCTTGATAGACACAGAAAATTATTTAATGAAATTGATCATCCTAGTTTTTTCTTTTTTTAATGTTCCAATTATGATTTATTCTTTGATTCTAAAACTCTTTATAAAAACAAAACTCCATAGGGTACAATTTTTGAAAGGCACTTTTCTTCACCTTGGTATAAAGTGAAAGACACCATGGTACCCCGAAGTGTTGGCATTGGCGACCTCACGTCCACCAGTGGTTGGAGGCCAATGCACCTTCTTTCGATATCTCCAATATGGAAAAGTTTTTCTTTTTTTTCTTTTTTATTATTCATTTATTCTAATTTGTAATATATGATGGCAGAATGCAATTTGTTTCCTATTGCACACCTAGAGCACGATTTTTCCAGTCACTGGTTATACACAAAGTATTTTCACACCATTCGTGTCTTCATACATGTACTTAGGGTCATGATGTCCATCTCATTCCACTGTCTTTCCTACYCCCTTCCTCCCTCCATTTCCCCCCTCCCCTTTGCCCTATCTAAAGTTTCTCCATTCCTCCCTTGCTCCCCCCATATCCCCATTATGAGTCAGCATCCTCATATCAAAGAAAACATTCAGTCTTTGGTTTGGGGGCATTGGCTTATTTCACTTAGCACTTAGCATTATATTCTCCAGCTTCCTCCATTTACCTGCAAATGCCATGATTTTAATCTCTTTTAATGCTGAGTAATGTTCYACTGTGTGTATATACCAAAGTTTCCCTATCCATTCATCTACTGAAGGGCACCTAGGTTGGCTCCACAGTTTAGCTGTTGTGAATTGTGCTGCTATAAACATTAATGTGACTGTGTCCCTGTAGTATGCTGTTTTTAAGTCCTTTGGGTATAAACTGGGGGGTGGGATAGCTGGGTCAAATGATGGTTCCATTCCAAGCTTTCCAAGGAATCTCCATACTGCTTTCCAGACTGGTTGCACCAATTTGCAGTCCCACCAGCAATGTAAGAGTGTGCCTTTTCCCCACATCCTCGCCAACACTATGGTTATTTGTCTTCATAATGGCTGCCATTCTAACTGGAGTGAGATGGTATCTTAGAGTAGTTTTGATTTGCATTTCTCTAATTGCTAGAGATGATGAGCATTTTTTCATATATTTGGTGATTGATTGTATATCCTCTTCTGAGAAGTATCTGCTCAGGTCCTTGGCCCATTATTGATTGGGTTATTTGTTTTTTAGGTGTTAAAGTTTTTGAGTGCTTTATATATCCTAGAAATTAGTGCTCTATCTTATGTACTTGTGGTAAAGATTCATTCTGTAGGATCTTTTTTTTTTTTTCTTAATGTGGAATGCTGCACAAATTTGCGTGCCATCCTTGTGCAGGGGCCATGCTGGTCTTCTCTGTATGGTTCCAATTTTAGTATATGTACTGCCGAAGCGAGCACTGTGTCTTCTCTTTATTCGCCTCACTAACTGTTTCTTTTGCAAAGAAGCTTTTTGRTTTGAATCCATCCCATTTATCAATTCTTGGTTTTAATTCTTGTGCTATAGGACTCTTATTAAGGAAGTTGAGGTCTAATTCGACATGATGGAGATTAGGGCCTACTTTTACTTCCATTAGGCCAAGGTCTCTGGTTTAATCCCTAAGTCCTTGATCCATTTTGAGTTGAGTTTTGTGGACGGTGAGAGATAGAGGTTTAATTTCATTTTGTTCCATGTGGATTTCCAGTTTTCCCAGCACCATTTTTTGAGTAGGCTATCTTTTCTCCAATATATGTTTTTGGCACCTTTGTCTAATGTAAGATAACTGTATTATGTGGGTTTGTCTCTGTCCTCTATTCTGTACCATTGGTCTACATGTCTATTTTGGTGCCAATACCATGCTGTTTTTGTTACTATTGCTCTGTAGTATAGTTTAAGGTCTGGTACAGTGATGCCACCAGCTTCACTCTTCTTGCTAAGGATTGCTTTGGCTATTCTGGGTCTCTTATTTTTCCAGATGAATTTCATGACTGCTTTTTCTATTTCTATAAAGAATATCACTGGGATTTTGATTGGGATTGCATTGAATCTGTATAGTGCTTTTGGTAGTATGGTCATTTTGACAATATTAATTCTGCCTATCCAAGAACAAGGTAGATCTTTCCATCTTCTAAGGTCTTCTTTAATTTCTTTCTTCAGCATTCTGTAGTTTTCATTGTAGAGGACTTTCACCTCTTTCATTAAGTTGATTCCCAAATATATTTTTTAGGCTGTTGTAAATGGGGTGGTTTTCCTTTCTGAGGATTTGTCACTGATGTGCAGAAATGCCTTTGGTTTATGGGTGTTGATTTTATATCCTGCTACTTTGCTGAATTCATTTATTAGTTCTAGAAGATTTCTGGTGGAATTTTTTGGGTCATCTAGGTATAGAATCATATCATCAGCAAATAGTGATAATTTGAGTTCTTCTTCTCCTATCTGTATTCCTTTAATTTCTTTCATCTAATTTCTCTGCCTAGAGTTTCARGAACCATGTTAAATAGAAGTGGTGAAAGAGGGCATCCCTGTCTTGTTCCAGTTTTTAGAGGGAATCAAGGACAATGTTGTTAAAAGCCAAAATCAGAAATTAGTTCAACTCCTGCAAACTGAAGAGGGCCAGCATTACAGAGAGGCAAGAGAAAAGCCAGGCAATTTCTGGATCAGCTCCTGATTTTATTTAAAATGTTGATCATTTGTTGGTTGTTATTTTTTGCATCAGTGATGCTTTTGAGAGAGATGTTACATTAAAATATTGTTTATCTTGGATACCGAGTTTGTTGACATTCCCTAAAATTTGTACCTAAGATCAGTTCCTTACTCACCCCTAGTTCTTTCTGGCCCTGAATTCGTAGCCAGCAGGTCTGGGATTCCAGGGTGAGTTTCTCTGATTGCATGCTGCTTCCTCAGGTCAAAAAGAGATAGTGTTCACCCTCTCAAAGTGTTCACGGTCTGARGACCGAGTGACAGTTATGAGGACAGTCATAACCGAAGTGACATCTGCCAGGGGGTTGTGGACAGAAGAGCAGATGTCTCTCCCTGCCTGAACCCCTCAAGGCAGGGTCCACCAAGAGGAAAGGTCTGAACTTAYGGCATTCCCCTGGTGGGGACTAACCCAGTCGCCTTCCAAGGCCGTGGCAGCTCCAGTAAATTTGGGACCACTGTTCCTGACTGTTCTAGTTGCCTTTTACCTTTGAGTGTATTTCCTTGTAAATCCRGAGCCCGAGGACATGCTGAGTGACACACTGCAGTGAACCCACGAGCAAGTGGGTGAATGAATGACTGAGATGGGCTCAGCCCCCAGGGTCACCAGGCAGGCAGATGGCACTGGCTCAGGAAACATCTTACGGTGTCCACCAGAGCAAAAATACCGTCTGCACCACACTGGGCAGGCTGGAGACCCACGGAGGGAGGAGGCGGCTGGTGAGCCAGGTAAAGAGTGTGTGACTAGCAACTAGCTCACTTCCCATTGAGTGGTAGGGGTGACCTCCCACCTGGGCATGAGCGTTGGAAGACTACAGGAGCAAGCATGTGTCCCCCAGCGCCAGCCCCCAGCGTACCCGATGACCGTTAGTGCTCTTTTCTAATAGACTTTATCTCAGAGATTAGATTGAGGTTCAGAGTAACATTGAGCAGAAGGTACAAAGATGTCCCATATGCCCTCTGCCCCAACCTAGGCACAGCCTCCCCTCTGCACCTCCCAAAGGGGTACATTTGTTACAACTGTTGTAGGAACAGACGAGGCCAGGCACCAAAGATAGCAGGAATCAGTTTTATTTGGCTGCAGCCAGGTTCAGAGGGCACAGCTTTTGCTGTAATCAATTAATCCCCTGAACCCCGAGTTCAGGGAGTTTCAGAGTTTTATACCCAACACGTAGGGGGAGAGGCTCAGAAGTTCACAGTCTGCAGAAGGTCACATAAAAGCAGCTTTTTCTTTCACTGTTCTGGGCAAGTTAACCCTTCAAGGACAACACCTGAGAAGGGGAGAGCTTCTTCTCCCCTTTCTTTCCTCCCCCTGCCAGCTGTTACCGTGGAGTCCATTTGTAACTTATCTTAAAAATGTAGACAGCTCTGTGAAGCCCAGCTCAAGGCCAGAGGCCTGTTTACTCATTTCTTTGAACTACTATACTGGATATTTTTGTGAAAAATCGTAAGGGGATGTCCAGCACCTGGAGTGCTGGTATCTTCTCAGCCAGTGGCCAAGTAAAACAGGGTGACACGAAAATAGGAAGTTTATCTACATTGAGCTCTTTTGCAGAGACTCTTTTGCTGACAGTCCTAAAATCAGCCATGGTGGAGATTTCTGGAAAAACCCAGTTAAGGTCTTTCTGTGGAGAAAGAGGGTGCCCCTAYACAACCGAGGAGCCCATATCGACCCATCATAATTGCCCCAAATCTAATTTGCATGGGACCCGCTCTTGGTGTGTACATTCTTTGGGTACCGACTCATGCACCGTGACGCACACTCACTGTTACAGCATCACACCGAGTGGATTCACGGCCTGGAAGTCCTCCAGGTTCCACTTGTTCACACCTCCCCCTCAGCCCCTGGCARCCACTGAGCGTTTCACCATCTATAGTTTTGCCTTTTAATTAATTCTATTTTCAATCTGTTTTCTCAACCAGGAAAATAAAATATGGTTCCAATCTGACAATCACGTGGGGTTCCTCAGAGCCAGAAGCTTGAGGGCTGTTGGAGAAACGGCAGAATCTACGTGGCCTCTTCTGACTGGAGTCCGGGGATAAGGCCCGGCTCTCCTATTCATTAACTACTTCCTTCTGCAACTGAGCCGATCTCTTGACTCAGCTTCTTCATCCGCATAATGGGGACAATAGGAGCGGTGGGGACTGGCAGCTCTTTGAAAAGCACAAAATTCATTGCAAGTTCTCTCATTCATTTATTGATTGGGTCCGCTCTTTGGAACCCCCTGCAAGCTGGGAGCTGTGAGCCCAGAGCTCTCGTGGTACCACAGTCATTCTGTGGGACAGAAACTGAGCTCAGAGATGTAGGGGATGTTTCAGGTGCCAAAGGTATTAAGAGGCAAGCTAGATCCAAACCTCGGGGCGCCTGACTCTAAAACCCCTATTTTTTCGACTACTTCCAAATGACATGCGTTGAACGAGGCAGCAAGGTCTGCATCTGCAACAGTGAAAAGCAAGACGTTCTCAAGCCCTGCCCAGGTGAACCAGAGAGGACCTGGTGCTTGAGCCAGGTCTTGGTAACCCCCATCCCTTCCTCCACCTCTGTGTTGGCTGCTAGAGAACTGCCTGCAACAGACAGAAGCCACCTGACCCGACTGGGCCTGAGAGGTTTTGCATCTTCCAAACCCCAAACCTTAATCCAAGAACAACTCTCTGTCAGTGCCTGACCAGTTCATAGCAGAAGAGCGACATCCTTGGTCCCAGGGTGCTCTCAGCCTGCAGAGTCCCGKGTGGCATCAGGCTGAGGACAGGTCTCAGCAGAAACCACCCTTCTCCTCTGATGTTTCGTCCTTTGCCTTCTCCCATCTCCCTCACCTCCTTGCAGCTTTTTTTCTCTGAGAACGTTCCTTCAGTTAGCCACACGCATCCTCCCCAGGTCAGGCTCTGCTCCTGGAAACGGACTCAAGACAATCTTTGCAATGAGTGGAAATGTTTTGTGATCAAGAAAAAGACCCTTCAGTAAAAGGGAATATCTTCTATTTAAAAAAAAAAAAAAGAAAACAACTATTAAGCTCCTTCTTTGTGCCAGGCACAGCTGTATGCACTGGGAGATTTCACACAATCAAAAACGCACCCAGATTCCCGCAGRAAGAGGACTTCAGAGAGGACTTATCAGTATGGAGATGCCTCAAAAAAACAAGGAATGGAATGACCATTTGACCCTGTTATCCCACTCTTCGGTATACATTCAAGGGAGTTAAAATCAGCATACTACAGGGACACAGCCACATCAATGTTTATAGCAGCTCAGTTCACAATAGCTAAACTATGGAGCCAACCTAGGTGCCCTTCAACAGATGAATGGATAAAGAAAATGTGATAGATATAATGGAATACTACTCAGCCATAGAAAAGAATGACTTATGTCATTTTCCAGTAAATGGATGGATCTGGAGACTATCATGCTAAATAAATAAGTCAATCACACACACAAAAAAAGGTTAAATATTCTCCGTGATATGTGGATGCCAACACACAACAAGGCAGGGAGGGAGAAGAGTAGAAGTTCAGTGGATTAGACAAAGGAAAATAAAGGGAAGGGAGGGAGATGGGAATAGGAAAGACAGTAGAAGGAGTCAGCCATACTTTCCTATGTTCATGTACACCACAGCGAGTCTCCACATCATGTACATCTACAAAACTGGGATAGTAGTAAGTACAAGATATACTTCATGTTTGTATAAATACATCAAAATATACTGTCATGTACAACTAGAAAGAACAG